TCCACTCAGTACACCCAATACCCGGAAATAAACTCCAGAGCCATGCATTAAATAGCAGCTAGAGATCACAAACACAGGTTTTACTCAACATAGTAGTTTATCTATACTGGCAAATCAATGAAATGGCTTAACCCATATCTACAGACCCTCAGATCCCATACAATGTCCATATGCATGATCATTCAAGCTGTTAGAGCTGGCAACAGAATGATGTCTATAGATCTAAAAGATCTGTAAAGTAACTATTTCCATATTGCTATATTGAAACAACACGGACACTAGTGGCATTATTTAGGAGAGAGTTTGAATTTTATGCCCTCCCTTTTGGACTCCTGCTTGCACTTAAGACATTCCCAAACCGCATACAACTAACTCCACTACAATTCCAGGGAATGCAAGGTTTAAATTACCTGGAGGTTTAGTTCACCTTCAATTACTGCTATAACACATAGCCTTAACTATAAATCATGAAAAAAGTATTATGTCACTGACATATTCTGCCACTTTGTTTGGCCTACAGCTTGAAACAATGAGCAGACACTTGCTAGCAGGTGCTACAACTATAGCACAAGTCTCCATCATGGGTTTAGAAGTAAATCAGCTTATGTCAGCAGACTAACCTCTCAGTCCTTACAATGGAAACGACATTAATGGATTCAGACAAGCAACAGCCGCATCCAACACTCAGCACCACTCCACTCCTGTGACTCTATATATACAGTATCATGCATGGAAGCAAGACATCAGGTTTGGTGCTGCCTACAGTACAATATGTCACATCGGGCACAATGCACTACAGACATCTTCTCCCCACATTAGGCACAGTCCACTAAATTCCTTTCTACTTCCTAAACTCTCCTCCAAAATTATTCCTAAATGGACATCTACACCGGAGCTATGTGATCTTCCCTGTCCTGGTTCCCCATAATCTGCCATGTGAATGTGCTGGAAACCACATGTCCATCCTTTAGAAACACAGTCTCGAAATCTGCCACATCCCTTGTGCATTACTGTGTTATAGCTCACATGTATTGCAGAGGCAGTTGCCCATTTGCAGATGCTTCAGTATTCATCACCACTGGTGATGACTGAGTTTGTATAGAGGAAGGTAACAATGGGCGGCTTTCATAATCTTGATTCCCTGAAAAGGTGTCATCAGCTTTTTTGGGTCCCTTTAAGTTGACCTACCTGCCTTTTGGCTATCCCAAATTTAAGAGAAGGGCAGACCCATTGGGATGACATGGCTGACCCTTCATGGGACTAATTTGGTACAAGGTCTCAGAATAAAGGGATTGAGAAGGCACTTCCCAACCTGCAATGACTGCATTCTTTCAGAGGGAACCAAGGTTATGAAGACAACACACCATTTACATGTCCTTGTAACAGGAAGGACTTCACATAACACAAATTAGTTGTTAAAAAAACTGCCTCCTTTGGAATATCTCCCACACAAGACTGAATACTGTAGTTAATCTAATGCTTTTGTGAGAAAATAAATAACATTCTGTTTCTGAGTAAAATCTATGCTGAAGCCAGCCTCTGCATACCTCCAAAGCAAGCAACTAGTAGTAGGTAAAAGATGAGAATGTGATGGAATCTGCCTGTATGAGAAATGGCACTAATATAATTAAAACCACACTGTACCTAATACGCTTCCTATTAACCTTATATAACTAGTGTATCGTTATTTCATTTCGTGCATATTTTTATTAGGTGGGACTCAGGTGACAGCTTTGTGAAGCTGCCCCCCCCCCCCTACAAACAGCTCAAACAATGAAACCCACCTCATTTGTTAGTGCGGTGCTTGTGCCGGTTTCTGCCGTTGAAAGTAGCGTTTGTGCTGCTTTCGTTTCTGAGATATAGCGGTTTGTTGTTTCGGGGTCATGGCGTCAATCAGCTACCATAAAACGTTGTAGAACCAGTCTAATTTGTTAGTGCTGCGTTTGTATCGGTTTATGTCACTGAAAGTAGCTTCCAAGCTGCGTTCTTTCCTGAGATATAGCGCCTTCTTTTTGGAGAAGTCAAGGGGAACCAGACCGGCCTCATTCGTTAATGCGAGTGTAAATCCGACCTATCTGTCCAGCCACGTATTTAAAAAGGCTTTAATTTGCAACTTTATGAACAACAAAACCACTGTTTCACTTTTTATGCAAAGCAAATTCGTCAAGGAACCAGTGTGTTTTTTACACAGGTAGTTCATAACACAGAAGAAGCAACATTGGAAAGTCTACCGTCTTACACATGCAGACCGCGGCAATATTGGAAAAATATTTTTATTTTCACATAACAGAGGTGAACATATATCTAAGTTCCTTAATAAACTCTCATTATCCACGTGTTTGTATTTAAGGGTTCTCATGCGCAAACATGAAACGATTAGCTCACAGTCCTTTTATCTTTGTGTTTCTGGTCAATCCTTGGTGTAGAGTACAGCGTGAGGGCACACCTTGACCTCTGAAGACAGAAATGAGCGCCTTTGTTCGATCGTCATATTTCTCCCAGGTGAAGTTGTGTCTTTTGCAGTATGTAGTGTAATGACCCAGGACATGTTTGCTTGTCCAGCTCCATGAACTTGTCCTCCCAGCCAGCAAACAGCAGAAACGACGAAACCCACCGCATTCGTTAGTGCTGCATTCGTTCCGGTTTGTGCGTTAAAGTTGGTTTGTGCTGCTTTAGTTTCCAAGATATAACGCCTTGTTTTTTTTCGGATAATCACATGACTATCTTCAAGGACGTTTACAGGTACTGTACCAACATACTCGGTACTTTAACTCCTGAATGTGATTTAAACGATGGGTGCAATTTGTTTTCTGAGTCTGTCTGCTTGGTGGCGTGGATATATAAATATATTTCAATATAGCGCCTTCTTTTCTGGCTGTGATATCACCCTGTGACGTACAGTACAAAAACAGCAAGGTCACGACCACCACATCTTTCAATTGTGATCTTTTGATCAGTTGACCCGAGCCTTTGCAATTTAACACCTTTATGGTCGGGGAACTTTTCCTTGAACAGAGCAACACACCAGATGATGCAAATTTATACTAAACTCTTTAATTCTTTAATATACTCTGTTTTTATAACTTAATATTGCAAAAATATATATTTTTATATATATACAAATATTTGCTTTTGATTTTATGGCAATACGCACAGATTATTGGATATGTTGTAAAACGTCGTTGTCCAAATAGTTGATCTTTACAACACACAGGCAGCAAATGGACAGTTTAGCTCGTACCCTTAACATTTTAAAGACAATCAATATCCACAAATATACGAGCCTGCTTAGATGTGAATAATACTTAAGACATAATGCAACAAGTTAACCATCTACGACATAAAACTGTGGTTGTAATGTATGTAAAATCACCGTGATTGTAAGATCTTTGGTTTTTATTTTCTAAGGCACGTGTTCCTTTCTTTCCCTACCGTGACACGCTGTTCCATACTATTGCGACAAGACCTCCACAGTGTGTCATGATAGGGACCGCATGTACTGTACATTGCAGCAGTGTATATCACGACAACGGGCGCACGTGACAATCACGACTGGTGCCTTGCTTCCATGGCATCCTGGCACCGCTGTCATGACAAAGGTGTCATATCACGACATGATATACCCAGATATGTATGTCATATCGCGATATATGGACTTCATGTCACGACATGGGGGTGGGGCTTTTTTGTCGGGGAGGTCATATCGCTTCATGTCACGACATGTGGGCGGGGCTTTTTGTCGGGTTAGTCATATCGCGATATAGCGCTTCATGTTGCAACATGGTGAGGGGGCTTTTTGTCGGGGTCTCATATCGCGACATACGTTTAGCGTTGTAGCCTTTGTGCTGCTTTCATTTCCAAGATATAGCGTCTTGGGTTTTCAGGTAGTCACGTGACTATCTACAAGGAGGTTTACAGGTACAGTATCAACATCCTCGGTACTTTAACTCCTGATGTGCTGAAAACAATGGGTGCAATTTATTTTCTGAGTCTGTCTGGCCTGGTGGGGTGGGTGTTTGGATAAATTTCAATATAGCGCCTTCTATTTCGTGACGGCAAGGTCACGACCACCAGATCTTTCAATTGTGGTATTTTGATCAGTTGATCCAGCCTTTGCAATCTGAAAAAAAGGCGCAAACGCTACTTTTAATGACACCAACCAGCACAAACGCAGCACTAACGAATGAGGGGGGTTTCATCGTGCTGTTTGTTGGTGGGGAGAGCTTCAGATGGCCTAAGTCATTTGCATTGCCATTTCAACTGCTCCTTGTAAAAAAAATCCATTATCACAATGAAGTGCTGTGCATTAGAACTGTAAATTACTAATTACACTTAATAGTGGCATTCTCGATGCAAAATACGAATCACCAGTTCGTTTACCTTAATGGATATTAGCTGTTGAATTACATTTATTTATAATGCTATTTTTAATTGAACGGTAATTCCTATCAGTGAGAAGTAATAAAGATTATAGGTGAATTCAGAGTGCCTTTGCCTGCGACACCGTGGATTCACTCTACTGCTTACTGCACCTAAACGATTTTCATGTGCGTTTCTCCGTGTACTTCATTCTTAGCGAAACCTTCACTTATACATACGTATCTAATCTATATCGTTAAAATTATTTGAATAAAACGCGCTTTCTCATAATTATATAACTGGTATTTTTTAGGAAAGTGTTTCTTCTAGTATACCTTCACTATATAGCCGCCTTTTTATCCTGTTTTCGTTATTAAAGAACTAAGTACTGTCGTTGTACTGGTAGGACCAAGGTTCCAAGGAAGCTTTGTATGCAGAAGTTGTGTATTGCGTCGTGTTCTCTTCTATGGCTAGCACCCAAGCACTGCACAAATTCATTTTCTGCCTACGTCCCTTCTAGCGCAACCCCCCTACAGTATTTAGTCTGTGAGAGAGCCCTGTCTTCCTACATGGACGATTATTAATTACCACTCCCCAACCAACGAAACCCTTCTACTGCTGCCTTCTGCAGCAATTCACGGCATAGTGCAACAGCATACACACACTTTTTAGCGTAATCTAACCTGAAATATACACTGTGCACTAAGATTGACAGGAAGCTCGCCCATACACAGGAAAAAGGGGTTTCCTGGAGTCGAAACAAGCTGCGTGCGTTACCAATAGACATACAACCTGTGAAAGGAGGCGGACGTATCTGAACTGTAGGCTAGGTTGAGCTGCGAGCAGGAGACGGAGAAATTGATACAGTGGAGCAGAAAATCTGGAAGACCTTTACTGTGTAGAAATTTGTAACATTGTTGCAAGTATTTTGCTTACTAAAGACTGAAAGAAGCAAGAGAGATCAGAGTGGTTTCCCATTTGGGGACGAGTTAATTGTTGAGCAAGGGCTATAACGGATCGTTTTCAGCTACAATTTAAATTTGACTGAAATATTACGCTGGAAATGTCCGAAAATAAGCCGAATGATGATCCGAAGTTGTCAACGACGGACAGGGTGGTGAAATGTAAGTATAAATGTATTGCTCGTGCTAGTTAGGAGGCTTTTCTCAGTAATTTGAAGACTATTTTTATTATTTGCATTTTCCCCTGCACTAGGGTTTGTCTAACCACACTCCGTAGCACCTTTTAAGCGTCTGGTCTGCTAAAGAAATGAAAAGCTGCTTTGCAGAGAAAAAGGGTGTAGCTGTATTAGCATAAGTAGGAAGTGAATGTAATTATTTACTCAGGTTTGAGGCATGCCAGTTCTACCCTAATTTGCAGTACCCTCCTCTGTTTGCCACTGTTACTAAACACCTACTCTAGTATTGCATTCTTGTTTATAAAATTCTACCAGGGACTGCATTACACACGATCTGTGAGAGTCCCACTTCCTAGTTTAGCATCTGCTGTATTGTATGGCTTTGAACAGTTCATACTGTTTGTGTATTCATGTCTCGGTGAAGAGAAACCCGTGTTGCACGCGCTGTGAGGGTAATTGTTATCGCAAGACTGAGTTCAATAAAAGTTTTATTAATGTGATTTCAAGAATGTGGAAGCCACTATGTTGAATGGGTAGGCTGTTGTGAGGACCAAATCCTTGCAAAAAACAAGGTATTATTTACGAGGAATAATAAAACATAATGCATTCTTCCGACACACTCTACACCTCTATTTTTCCATCTGTATTATAATAACGTATTTTAACAGGGATAAGGCTGAAGTAAGCGCACGTAAAACCTTTACATATCCTTCCAGTATGTTATGATTAACATCACGAAATGCTAGCTAGTATGTGGCTTGTCTTTAGATGTATGTTCATAAAATAAATAAATTTAAAAAAATGTAAATACTAAGGTGTTGTTATGTGCATGCACTTAAATACTGATATACAATATCTGAATAATATTATTTATATTAAGTTTTAACGAGAAGTTTCAGGTTTTCCTGTTATCAGTGAACTCACTGTGCAAAACAACGGTCTTTGATTAATATATTAAATAAATATATTATGTCATCCTTTTTATTTTTGATGTCTGAGCTGCTGGATGTTTTGAAAATTTGGAACATATATTTTAGTACTATATTAGTACTGGGCATTACTATGCAGTACATACTTTTATAATTTATTGAATTAAGGCTGAGGAAAATTTAACATTCTTGTGAAGGTAATTAATCGAGAAAACGTTTTCTGAAGCTACAGAAAATTATACCTTGCTTGACTGTGAAGAATCAGAATTTCAGTTGTTGTTTAAAACAATGTACCTGAATTTAACAAGAAATGTGTCTGTTTCAAAGAGTACACCTGACTACCTACAGTATGTGTTCTTAATTTATATTTCACTTTGAAAATGATATCGACTAAATTTATATTTTGTCACATCACAATTAGTAGTCTGCCTTGGGGCCAATCCTGTGTTTCTTCAGAATACTGTATGTGCAAAATGACACCTGTAAACCGATCTGTGTGTCGACTTTAATGTGTGTTCTACCATGTTTAACCATGTAATTTGCAAAAGTCTCTTGAAATCTGTATTTTTATGGCTCATACATTTTTGTCATTATGTAAGTAATGTCATAATGTCTGCGGGAGTGGAAGATGAAACAAGGTAATGTTTTGACTGGTGATAGGATTTTTGAAACTGCACGCTTTTAATTTACAAGCCCAGCGAGAAAGATAGTGATGCAGTGAGAAATATATTACGTTGTAACTTGTGGCTTTGATTCCTTTGATAGATGTAATAGAAGCTTAAGATATTTGTACTTGTAATTGATCCCTTTGTTGTATTCTCTGTATTTTACATCTACAGAAACAATAGATAGGCTATTCATAAATCAGGTCTGATTAACTCGGAACAGATAATCATTTTGTTATTGATATGGTAACAATGATTTTAGTTTGCACATGTGATTATGATGTCCTTTGACTTTTCTTTTGCTATATTTTATTCTACACTACAATTTCAATCACTTTTTATTTTGTCTCTCTCGTGCATGTGCTTGATATTGATTTCTTTCACATTTTGCCATTTTAACAGGAAAGAAAAACCCTGGTACTGTATGTTGATGGGTTAAAGATATGTGTTTTGTTTTGCCCAGGTGTGCAGGCACAAGCACCAGATGAATTTACTGAATAAATTGGTGTCCTGCTTTAGTTAATTATACAAAATTCGTTTTGTAATTGATTTTGAAAGCAGAAAAGATTTATTTAAGGTCTTAGGGTCCCTTTCACAATGAAAAGTTATGATGGCTCAGTGCTGCCTCTGAAGCTACAGTGTGTGTTGCATGAATTGCCTATGCAGATACAGAGCCTGCACAAGCCTTTAGCCACCCTGTAAGGTGGTTCAGAGACAGTCCATAACTTTTACAGTTATCTATGTGAATGGGTATACTTATTCTGCAGTGGAATAGCACATATTCAAGCACTGCAGCAGCACATAAGCCTGTACACAAGAGGTCACAAGGAAATAGGTGTGACTGTTGTGGATATTTTGCTTCACATAAACATATAGGGGTGTAACCCCGGCGTCCTGGCCAAATTTCCCATTCCCCCTTAACAATCATGGCCTCCTAATAATCCCCCTCTATGAATTGTCTACATTACTCCGCTCTCCTCTCCACTGATAGCTGATGTGTGGTGAGCGTTCTGGTGCACTATGGCTGCCTGCACATTGGTGGTGGTGGAGGGGAGTCCCCATTACCTGTAAAACGCTTTGAGTGGAGTGTCCAGAAAAGCGCGATAAAAGTGTAAGCAATTATTATTAATTATTATATATATTTCTTAATTTCAAATATAAATAATTCGATATAGCAAAACATTTATTTTCCTCAACTTCAGAAAATTGTGAGAGAGTTCAGTTTCAAAGTATATTTCTGGGTTGATGCTATTAGCCCAATAGTGTGGTCAGGGGTGCATTCTATATGTACAGCAATCATGCATTATCGTTTTTGCTTTCATTGCTGTTGCCTTGATGGTATATATCTTTCTCTTTTAAAGATTAGGTGTTGCCTTCTTTGAATTAAAATGTGGGATCTATGTTTTTCCTGAAATTTCAGTAATCTGGCACTGCTTGTGGTGTTGCACTGTAAACAGAAATAATCATGAATTTAAAAGAGAAAGCAAAACTACTGGGGTCCTCAGTCAAGGATGAAGCCATTTTGTTGCACTCATTTACATGACAACAACTTGCAGGGTCTTTTATGATACCCCTGTCTGTGTGAGCAGTATACAGTATTTTGGTCCAGTAACAGTACGTATGTGCTGTTTTTTTTAGGAATATGTGAAACACCTCTGTGATGGTTTAGAGGCAGCAGTTCTGTGTGAAAAGGGCACTGTAGGCATGCATTGTATAAACATTAACAGGGCTACTTTCAAAGCATTTTCCTCCTTTGCAAAACTTTCCCTATTTGTTTGTTGTCAGGATAAAGAATGTTTTCCATCTTGATTAGCATCTTTGTTCCTTTGTGAAAATGTTTAGCTACCTACGTGAATATTCTGCTCTGGAGCAAAGAACTTTCAAACCCCTGCATACTAACATATGAGCTACCATAGAGGCTTTACATTTCGTCTTATTTATATTTTCATATTCCAGACATTTTCAAATGTGAAGTGTGTCTCAGGAGTGTCTGCTGAAAAAGGAGTCTCGGTATAAGAGCGATCATGTCAGTGGCTATGGTCTCGGTCCATCAGTTGGTTTTCTAGCGTGTGTCCCATTCAAGTCAAAAGGCTTGAAACCAGTCAGTGATGTAATCTGGCTTCTGGTGAAGGCAGTTTTAAAGTGCTCCAGAGAAAAAGTATGATGAATCATCTAAAACCGAGTTCAGAATGTGGAAAAGGCATACAAGACCATTATGTTTTGATTCTATTTAGATAGCTGACATGTAAAGGCATACAGATATAAGGACCAACCGACCACTCTTGCCCTCTATACCAAGCAGTTGGCTGCTGGATATCATCTAGCCGTTTCTTGATAGAAGAACTTCCACCAGCTTCCACAACATGGCTAGGTAGCTTGTTCCATACTTCCACAACATTTTATTAAAAAAGCATCTCTCATTCTCAAATTGAAAATGCCCTTCCTCTTCCTCACAGTTGATTCTGCAGAAAGACTTTGTCAAGGTCCTTAAGAACGCTTAAAATCGGGTTGCGTCACTATCTTTGTTCAAGACTAAAGGGACTCAGTTATTTCAGTCTGTCAATGTCAGACTTTGTGTTAAGCACAGAAATATTTCCTGTTGCTCTTATCTAGATTGGGTCCCTAATAATACATTTGTGTAATGTAGCAACCAAAATCAAATTGTACAATTGTAATATAACCCTTTTTTTAAACGATATACATTCTACAGATCTGTATGTCACAATAGAATATGATATATATACTCTATTTACATATACATCCTAACACTGTTTGCCCTTTTAATTTTTTGATCGCATTGTCTAGAAGATAAATGAGCATAAATTGTTCATTTTTTTCATAAAGTTCTCTAAGTTTTTTTCCCATTTTGTATTTATAGTTTTTTCTGTCTGTGCAGTTTCTAAAGTGTTTGTGATAATTATTTATTGATATACAGGGTTTCACAAAGAATGTTTAATACCTTTTTTGGAATTTTGGTGTAACTCAAATGTGGTATATAAATATCAATAGACATGTTAAATCTGTTGCTTTATAACAGGCTTTGATATGCTTTGATTACCTTGTTTTAGATTTGCCTCACCATTAAACACTTAAGACATTACAAAATACAGAATTAAATACAGATTGCAAGAGTACAATTTATGTAATACAGTATACCATATTAATGCAGATGTATTTCTGTTCTCCCATATAAATCATGTTTGCTACCCAAAAGGCAGCTGATGCTGTTGTATTCCAAAGTCCAGGCCTGTTGAAAGCAGTTATTATAATTGCTGCAATTTCTATTTTATTTTTCCCTAATTTGTAATAACAAATTTACTTGCACAGCATCACATACTGTATGAGCCAGGAATGCAGAAGATGAATGGCTGTGCTGCAGTGATAGGGCCAAG